TGCAAGAGCAGGTCCAACTTTTTGCACCTTGTCTAAAAGAGAAAGGGCATCATTAGAAGATCCGCCCCAGATATGGCAACAGTATTCTACACAAGGCTAGATTTCAGATTTATATAGATAGAGAATAGAGTTCGGATATACATTTATATACCTATATATATATATATATATATATATATATATTATATATATATATATATATATATATATATATATATGTTATGCTAATGTTCCAGAAACAAGACCAATTGAAAACTTTTGGGGTGATTTTAAACGGGCAGTATACGATAATAATATGAGAGCTGAGAATTTGGAAGAGCTTGAATCAAGAATAATATATTGCTATTCAAAGATGAATAAAGAAATTTTCCTAACTCAAATAAAACATCTTTTAAAAAAACTTTATAATATTGCTAAATACGGTATTTGTAATAATTATTTTAATATATTTATAAACTATATATATATATATATATATATATATATATATATATATATATATATATATATATATATATATATATATATATATATATATATTATATATATATATATATAGTTTATAAATATATATGTATATATATATATATATATACATATATGTATATATATATATATATATATATATATATATATATATATATATATATATATGTATATATATATATATAATATATATATATATATATATATATATGTATATATATATATATATATATATATATATATATATATATATATATATATATATATATATATATATATATATATATATATATATATATATATATATATATATATATATATATATATATATATATATATATATATATATATATATTAGGGGTGTCCAAAAAAAAATTTTTTGAATTAAATGTTGCACAGCTATATATTGTTTCTTTGATTGAAAAAAACTTCTCTGCAAAATCTTAGATGTTTTGGATAATATTTAGAGGTTGCTCAAGGAAAATAAAAATTTAATGTGTTAAAATCATTTTCAAAAAATTCTTTAAATAACACAAATAACATTCAAATGTTGCACTATTTAAAAGATCAAAAGTTTAGTCTGTAGCAACAGTGGCATATGTCATCAAGATGCTTTTGCGGAAATCTGGAATGCGCTTTCTGTTGTCCTCAACAACTTGTATTAGTTTCTGCATTTCAGATTCAGTTTTTGTGATGGATTGATTAAATGTGCTCATAAGAACAACAGAACGCTTAGCAGTGTCATTGATAACTTTCACAGATTTAACAATTGCTTTAATATAATGAAATTCAGAAATTTTCTCCCAGGTCTTTGGATTGGTTCCAGATAAAATGGTTACATCAAGACCAAGTGACTGCAAAGCAGCAGTTGATGATGATGTAACAAGCCCATGAAGTTGCTTCTTTTCCAACTTGTTTAATTCTGCTGCTGGACACTTTATACCCCTGATACTCCAATCAGCTCCAATTTGAATTATTTCTTCAACAATCAATTTTTTTTCTGTGTCACAAACCCTGTCAGAAAATAATGAATGTGGTATCATTTCTGACCCAAGGTACCAAGTGTGATTTTGAAGCTTCTTCATAGCAGCATTTGAAATGACCTTGTTGATCTCAGAATATTGTTTAATTCTTGTGGAGAGCATCAGGTCATTTGCTGGAGCATCACTTGCAATTGGACAGGCAACCCATGCTGGTACATAAATATGAGCAGCAATGATACAAAATTTGCACAAGTTGTTCTGTTTCTTCATATTCAGCTTGTATTCATTTCTTAAGTGGTATATCTTCATACAATAGATTACTTTAGCCATCCATCTAGCCATGTAATAAGCTCCCGGCATGGGAAAGCAATACTTCTTGGTGGCATAGTCTGATAACGGAAAATCCAAAATTAAAAGGCACAGCTCGATCATCTCTTTGTAGTCTTCTCTTGGTAAGTGTGAAAAGTCATCTGATAAAAAAGGCTGCAGAAAGAGCCAGCCTCTGAAGTTGATGAAGCTGTGGTTCAGCAAGATGGGCGTCATCTAATGGAGATAATTAGCTTGATTTATGCTTGGCCAACACTTCTGAAATCGTTCAAATAGAGTTATGTTGAGCCCACTGCTGGGTCCAAGCAAAACTGAGTATATTTCCCCAATAATTACTTCATGCATATGGTGACAGCAAGCAAAGTAGAGAAGATTTCTCTCCATTAACTTCTCTAGCAAGATGCACGCACCATTTTTGAAACCCGTGTTTGATGCTGTTGTGTCAAAACACATACCGACAATATAATTTGCAACATTCCATATGGTAGGTAACTGGAAGGTCGCTTTTGCTTGTGCCTGTCAAGTGCCAGATGATATCTATAAGTGTGAAAAGTGCCGGATGATATCTTTACCCAGTATTTTCTCCAGATTACAACCAGTCACATCAATAGCAATTCTATCAATATTGGACTTTGATAGTTGGTGCTGTCTCTCATCATTAGCTGCCAATATAGTGAATTTTTGGTCAGATAAATTGATTCGATCAAGTGTGGATAATACATCTGGAGAAGACAAAATTTCATTGAGAATATGTGGCTTTTTATTTTTAGGACTTTGTTCACAGTCAGTTGATTGGGTTACTAGTTTTTTGTGATAAACCAGAATTTCTATTTCATAATCATCATTGTCATCAGAAATGTCACTGACTTTTATTGCTTCGCTATCACTATCACAATCAAGACTAAAGTGGCTAATGCTAGGGGTAAGGACATATTTACTTGTTGTCTCCTCTCTTCCTCATTCTGCTTTCTTTTTATTTCTGCTTGTTGACGCTCTGCTGTTCGCTTTTATTGTTGAGATAATTTTATATCTTCTCTAGCCATCTTCATCATACGAGCATTCTTTTGGTCTTCCAGAAATATTTTATCTTCATCAATTTTAATTAGCTTGTTTTTCATCTTTGTGTGAAATGTCAAACAGTAAATCTAATTTGATACTAAAATCTTTCTCTCTAGCAATTTGTGACTTACTAGCTCTTCCTTTATTCTTTTTAATTAAATTATATTCATCAACACATTCTTTCACTTTTGATACAATATGAGGCTGGTAAGTCATTGGAATTCTGGCCTTTTTCCAGATGTGAGCTAAACCATTAGATGTTGTTTTTTCACTGGTTGGAACTGTTTGTTTCAATGCTTTGTGATAGTGGAAAAACGTCCTTAACACATCAACCATTGTTGGAAGGACATTTTTTAGTAGATTCTTATCAGGTTGACTATATTGCAGTTCGATTACGTGTCAAAGGAAAATTTGAAGAACTTATCTTTTCACTCATTTTCAGCAACAAACTAAAATTAAATGATATCAAATTAAACTCAACTTGAGAAATTAAATATTAATTTGCAAATATAATTTAAAATATGTGATCAATATTTCAATATGAATGTGATGAAATCATAAGTATTACAAAACTACAAACACTAAAGTAAGTTAAGTCACCCAATAATATTTAGCACTAAAAAACAAGATATTGGCATAACAGCTATAATTATTATTTTATAGGATTAAAATAAATAAGAACCTCAAAATCTTTAAATAATAATTAATTTTATCTTTAAGATAAAATTAAAAAATTATTTAAGGTGTAATGCTATTATTGTAAAACTAAAAGGCTATTGAGCAACGTTTAAACATTAATTTATTTTAATTATTTTTTGCACAGTAAATTTTAATGCCAATAGGCACAAAATAAGCTAGTGCGCATTCAAATCAGAGAAAAAAATTTTTTCCAGTGTTTATGTGAACACCCCTAATATATATATATATATATATATATATATATATATATATATATATATATATATATATATATATATATATATATATATATATATATATATATATATATATATATATATATATATATATATATATATATATATATATATATATATATTATATATATATATATATATATATATATATATATATATATATATATATATATATATATATATATATATATATATATATATACACTTACTAAAGCGTGTTTTTATAAGCATTTGCTCACTTTTTTTGCTTACCTTAACCCATACGGCTTTTTTAGAAAAAGAAGAAAAGAAGAAGAAAAAAACGAAAAATGATGAATACAACAATTGCTGCCCCATCCCAAACTCTCAGTCGACGTAGCAGCACTCCACTGCGAGTAAGGCTATTTGTCAGTCGATGTATGTACTGAAGCCCCCAGCAGCAGGCTATTTCAGTATGACGTCAGATTGCTTACCTTAGTACGTAATACTATATATATATATATATATATATATATATATATATATATATATATATATATATATATATATATATATATATATATATATATATATATATATATATATATATATATATATAATATATATATATATATATATACAATTTATATATATATTTAATTTATATACATATATATATATATATATTATTTATATATATGTATATATATACATATATAAAATTTAAGTGACATCTTTAATAGTGTGTATAATATTATAAGCATTAAAACGTCATATACGGTATCATACTATTTATTTCTTTTTTATATGTTATTTTGTCTCATATAGTGAGAGCCATTATCAAACTAATAAAACTGTTGAAACATCATAATAAAATGGTTTTATTAGTTTTTATAATGGCTGTCACTATATGAGCCAAAATATCACGTAAAAAAAGAAATAAATAGTATAATGCCGTATATGATGTTTTAATGCTTATTTAATTATATATATATATATATATATATATATATATATATATACATATATATACACATAGGCTTAATATATGTTTTTGTTTTATCCCATTTTCGGAAAAAATGAATTTTTAAATGTTCTGGCACAAAATTAGTCTTATTTCTCAATTATTTTATATATGTATGTATATATATATATATATATATATATATATATATATATATATATATATATATATATATATATATATATATATATATATGCTTTAAAAATTATAATAATTTTTTTTTAAAAGATGCTTCACTATTTTGTGAAAGATTTCTTTCGAGAAACAGCTGTCAGTGGATATGTTCACAATGGTTATTTAAATGCATTTGTGGTGACAGATAATCCTAACTTGCAAAAAACCTATACATTAAATGTCTCTGTATTTACATGGGACAATTTTCATCCTATTTTAAATGAGAAAGTTGAGATAGATGTACTTCAGACACCATCTGTAAGTAAATATTGTTTAAATTGCTTTTTTTAAAAACTTAAAGATGTTGTGTTGCTATGGTAACTCAGTTTAGTTATCTGAGCTGTTCGTTCCTATTTTGACTAAAAAATAGATGTTAATGAAGTAGCTAAAACTTGGTTTTTGATTGTAATTAATGGTAATTAATTAGTTAATTGATTATCTTATTTATTCAAATAAAAAAATGATTGAATTTAAATGTTTGAATTTAAATCTATTATTTGACATAAAAGTCAAATAATAGATTTTCCAAGTTTTAAACAAAGTGGCAATAACATCCCAGATTTTGTTATAATTTGTACAACTCTCTTGTAGTAAGCATTGCATTTTTTTTTTGCATTGACTATTGTTTCTCAGTCTGAATACCTTTTCACATTGAAAAGAATAGTTCACATTAGTGAAGAAGCTTGAAAATCCACAGAGTTTTGCCATTAAAACAAAAATGTTTTTATTTAAACAAATCAAAAACCGCAAAAAATTTAAAAAATAAGTATCAAATCATTGAAATTAAGATAAAAAAATTACAAAATAATGAGGCAACTTTCAGTTTTTTATGATTGATCTTTAAAATCAAATAAGATAAGAAAACAGGAAAACTAAAGTTTAAATTTCTTATTGTGGAATACAAAAAATGTTACAATACATTGACCAAAAGCAATTGGCTCTGATAATTTTTTTTTGTTATATTTGATGCAGGTAATCTGAGGTGCTTGAACTAGACTGAGCAATGAAAGCCCACAGAGAAATATGAAACTTTTGAAACTTTTTACATAAAAGAGGATAAGTAATAAAAACAAAGCAAAACGAACAGAATAAATACAGATTTATTTTAAGGAGTAAAAGCTTACGCATAAATTATAGTCAACAGTTTATTGTTAAAGTATACCTAAAACAAACAGAACACATAAATAACATATGTATATATATATATATATATATATATATATGTATATATATATATATATATATATATATATATATATGTATATATATATATATATATATATATATATATATATATATATATGTATACATATATATATATGTATACATATATATATATATATATATATATATATATATATATATATATATATATATATATATATATATATATATATATATATATATACATATAAATATATATATATATATATGTATATATATATATATATATATATATATATATATATGTATACATATATATATATACATATATATATATATATATATATATATATATATATATATATATATATATATATATATATATATATATATATATATATATATATATTATTGCCGGTATCTCAGAGAGGCTCAGCACCAGTACCTAGTTTATCCTTTTAAATAAACATCATCACCATTTTTGTTTTATCCCCGATTTACGCCTGCTCCATACTGCAGTAAAAAAGACTTCACTACAAACAGCCAAAACCCTAACTACATCCAAATTTGTAAAGCACTAATATTTTATATGAAAAAATATGGAAGAGATGCGAATTCAGTATCAAATAATATAACAAAATAAAAATTAATTAAATTAATATATTAAATATTAATAAACAAAAATAAAAATAAGTACTTACCATACCACGGGTAGAAAATTGGTTGAAATAAATAAGTTGAAACTAATTAACAATAAAGTGATAAGTTCTAATAGAAAAAACTTAAAATACTACACGACACCGCCAACGTAAAAAATGTTATAAAATAAAACTTTATTCAAACCACAACAAGTTGCTGATACTTTTTGGAGAAATACATCCATCTAGCATTAATTCTTAATAGTCAAGACTTTATTTCAATATATAAGTAAAAGATAAGATAGAGAAATCTATGTAAATTTGGAAAAACAACAAAACCATTCAAAGTTTACAAAAAACACTCTCATAGTTACATAGATTGAACTTTGCTAACCAATCAAAAGTACATAATGAACAACCTGCAAAACTATAATTAAATTAAAATTAAAAAAAATTAGGAAATTAAAAATAAATAAAGGTATTATTGAAGCCTAAAATCTTATGATCTTAAAAAGAAAAACGGAGCTAAAATGAGTAACAATGATGACAACAACAAACGAAACCACAAAAATAAAAAATGTAAAAAAACCATATAAGGTGCAAAAAAATATATATGTTGTATATAAATTATTATGATAATAATAAAAAATTAAATTTATATTTATATAAATTTATATATATATATATATATATATATGTATATGTGAAACAGTTATACCAATGTTAGTTAAATCATTTTTAATAACAACCAAACCATTAAAAAATATGTAACAATAAGTAGCTAGTGAACTGCAAACAATAAAAACAAGTCATAGGCCGAATATTTGCCTATGACTTGTTTTTATGTGCTGTTCAAAAAAATTTCTTTTATCAACTTTCAACTTTTATTGACTTTGTGTTGGTAAAAGTAACAGTTGGTGCTGATGGCCATACTTTTTTCAGATCCTTTCAATTTCTTATCAAGTGCCAATGTTTACTTATTATGTTCCTTATTTGTCTTCCTTTATCACTATAGGGTGTTATAATAATTAGGACCTTTTCCTTTTCTTCTTTTTTTCTTATATATAAGTCGGTGTTGAGTATAGCCTAAAGTTTTTTTAATAGTGTTTGTGACTTTTATGAGATATCCACGAACTATCGTAATCTGCACTAAGGTCTTAAGCTTTTTTATCAGGATATTGTTGTCAGATATCAGTTTGTTATATCTTAGGGTTTGATTAAAAATAATTTTATATTTCAGATGTAAAGAGTGATTTGATTCATAGTGAAAAAAATGTTATTCTTATAAATGGTAAGATCCATGAAGTTAATGGTGGACTGAGAATGGTTAAAACAAATTTGATGGAATGGCGCATACTATTCATAAAACTAAAAAATCATTTGTAGATTTTCAATCGATCCATTAAATATTAAAAAAAATGTCATTAATTATCTTTTATAGAGTGAGATTTTTTCTTGGTTCTGAAAGTTATTAATATTTTTTCATTCAATCTACCTATAAAAAGGTTTGCAAATGGTGGTGTATTCCCATAGATGTACCTGACATCTGGTTATAATGTTGAATAGCAAAATTAAAAGTACTAAAGCGTAAAATTGTTTCCAAAATTAAATCTACAAAAGCTATTAAAGGGTAGTTCCTGAGTTTATTGCTTTTAGGGAACATTGATTTTATGAATTTTTGGAAACCCATAAAATAAAGGAGATTGTGGCGTTATTTTGGGTCTTAACCTTTAATCAGTTTTTTCATCAATAATGTGTATTCAATTAGATTATTAACAGATCAACATATACTTTTAGTAGGGTCATACTGTAAAGACTTATAGGTATTCCTATCTACTAAAAGTTCAAATATTTTCTGTTCATCTTTATCAAGAATACCAATACAATTTTTTTTTAACATGAAAAGTATTTTGTCAATATTAGTTTTATTTTTAAGTTAAGTTTTTCAAATGAGACTTTTTTTCCTGTTATTGTAAATATTTATTAAAGAAAACTGTATGCATGCATAAATTTATGTATGCATATTTGGGAATATATATAAATACATAAGTGTATATATATATATATAAATATATATATATATATATATATATATATATATATAAATATATATATATATATATATATATATATATATATATATATATATATATATATATATATATATATATATATATATATATATATATATATATATATATGTATATATATATATATATATATATATATATATATATATATATATATATATATATATATATATATATATATATATATATATGCGGCAGCAGGCTGTTAGTTAATGACTTTAAGATAGTTAATGTCTGCAACAGGTTTTCTTTATCTAAATACGCGTTTATAGTTTTATATATATATATATATATATATATATATATATATATATATATATATATATATATATTAGACCTATATGAAATCTCATTTTCATAGTGAAATAAAGATAGATGAGTTCTTTATTAAATACATTAACTGATTGGTTATGGTAAGAGCATGTATTTTTTATGCATGTATGACTATGGCATTTTTGTATATTAATCTTACATGTTTAGATACCAGTTTATAATCGTAGTATTAATGAAGTTTGTCCTAATGAGAAATGCTTTGTGAAATTTACTTTACTGCCAACACAGTCTAATATCATTGTTTCAGAAACAAATGTATTCTTAACATCCTTTTTGGCATTTAATTTAACTGATCCAAAAATAAAGGTTAGTTTTTATTTAATACTAAATTTATCAGTTTAAATTAAATTCATCCTAAATTCATATTTATAAGTTATAACTAATAGTTTTCTTATATATTTTTTACATTATTGTTTTAAAATTATTATAAATAATGTTTTTATAACAAGTTTTCATGGACTAAATAATGTTCAAAAGATCAATTCTAGAATTAAAAAAGCTTCTGAAACAACACTAAAAGCATAAGGCAATAACAATAATATTCCGGTACTGGAATATTATTGTTATTGCCTTATGCTTTTAGTGTTCCAGTACTGGAATATTATTGTTATTGGTGTTTTTGATAAAAATCCCAGTACTGGAATAGCATCAATAGTTCTATTAGGTAAACAAAATTTGAAATTCCAATACAAGAGCAATATCCCCAAAAAAATAGTTATTTAAATTATCACTATTAAAAACAACCACATTTCTAAAATAAAATCTGAAATGTCAGTACTGGATTAACAACTGAAACTAAATATTTTTAAATTTAATAAAAATTGTAACAACCAGTATAGCATTTAAAAAATAAATTTTATATTAATACTTAAATATGATGGCCGTTGCTTAAACATTAAAAAAATTTATAATAATAATAATAAAACCAAAAAATTTAATAATTACTAACCTAAACCTGTCAGTTGTTATTTTATAGTCAATTTGTAACAATTAATATTACTCATTAATTTATGCACATAAGTCACATGTCAGTTCATTTATACAAATATCACTTTGTCAGTTTATGTATGTACATATGTCACATGTAAGCAGATAAGTCCATTGGTTGGGGTCTGGTATTACATAAAGTTAATTTGAAAACTTTCAGTTTTAAATGATATTAAAGTAGTTGTTGATGTTATTTTGCTATTTCAATGTTATTTGAATATAGCATTAGGTCAAGCTGATGTTTGAACTTTTTTTTTGGAATTCTATTCTGGTAAAATTTTCTGTGTTGGCTTGCTTTATTCTGATTCCCTGAAGTAAAATGTTTTCTGCTTTATCATAAAATAATAAGTTATACTCAACTAAGTAATAAAGATATATATCACATAAAGCTATATTGATAAAATTAACAAAATATCAAAATGTTTAAAATATTATATTGATAAAAGTCACTAAAAAGGCTTGTAAATGCTTAAATCGTGATTTATTAAAAAATATTTCAAATAAAATGATTCTTCAGATTTGCAAAGACTTTTATCTCCTAAAACTTTTACTTCTTCTTAGCACAAATGTTGGATCTTTACGTATTTATAGGTGAAAAAATATCACACCAAAACTTCGTGAATATATTTATAGCTTTTGGATGATCTTTAATGACTTTCTTCAATTCTTTACCATTTTCAGTTAAATATTTGGTTTGGTAACCAGACATCTACCCTTTTTCTAGCAACAAGCTTAACTGCCATTTCAAGTCATTGTCTGTCTGAAGGAATTAGTATGTATGCAAGTAGTAACTAAATTGCCCATGAGTTCCATTTAGCTTGGCTAATATTTGTTACACTTTTAAAACTAACCTTGGGAAATTTCTTTTCATTTCAAAAGGATTTCACTTTGTTAATGAGATACATCAAAATATGTCATCTCTTTATATCAGTTCATTCTCCTTTAATTGTATACAACTATTTTCAAAATTCGATGTTAAACAGTCATATTTACTATTTATTGCTTCAATAAAATAATATGACAGATCAGATGAATTAGTATTACCTCCAAAAAATTCATCTAGATATAACTTTTATATTGAATTTAATATATAATGGTGTCAGCCAACATAGAGTAGTTTCTCAAAGCCAAAACATTCAAAATGTGTTATTAATCTCTTTACTGCGCCACTTGTTTTCCCAGTGTTAACATTTCTATTGTCTGATATGATCATTTTTATAGATCCCCATCATATCATATTCATTCAAAAGTTCTCAAAGTCCTTCAAAAATTGAAAAAATAGCTTTAGCCTAATCTCTTTTTTATTGTTCTTTATCACAACTACTTGATGTTTCACCAGTTATGTTTACCCATCAAATACAAACACCAGTTCCTGACTTTTAGTTCTTTTCTCAATTCATCTGTTGAATATTACTTGAGATATCTCTTTGTTTTTCTTAGGAACTATAATTCATTTGGTGCATGAATTTTTTTAATAGATGTAATTTTAAATTATTATCCTTTTTTTTCAAATATAAAAGTTCATCATTAGATGACATGCTTGTTTGAAAATCTTAAAATTATTTTTTATTTTATACCCTTAACATACATACAGAATAACATACATACTTACATACAGATATACATACATACATACATACATACATACATACATACATACATACATACATACATACATACATACATACATACATACATACATACATACATACATATATTTTTTCATGTTTGCGTTATTAATTTTGATTTTTTGAATCAGGTTGTATCAATAGATTTGGTAGAGCCAACCATTTACAAGGTAACAATAAATGCAAAACATCCTGCTGCTTTTGTTTGGCTTGAAACAGATTTAGATGGCCGTTTCTCTGACAATGGTTTTATAATGGCTCAGCAAAAAGTTGAAGTAAAATTATTGAATTTATAATATTTGAATAAAGCATGAAAAATAAGAACCTAGCTGGAAAGAAAATATTTTTTCCATATTTTCTACCAAAATTGTTTATATTGGTCAGAATTTAAACTTACAAAAGTATTTATAATTTATAAGAATTTATAGTATAGGAAATTTATATTACATTTCACTTAAAAGCTTCTTTTACTAGAATGGCTTTTAATAAAAGCAATTAAAATAAAGTCAAAAAAGTTAAATAGTAAAACAAAGATATAAATGGTTATTCTCCATGGTTACCACATAAATGATATTTTTTAATTTGTTTTTATTCTATTTTTATACAAAAAAATCATAAAACACAAATTATTTAAACTAATCAATTTAATACCTAAAGTTATTACTTTGTACTCAGGATTTTTAGCAATCATTTACATATATAGATTTTATTTATTTTGAACTATATATATATATATATATATATATATATATATATATATATATATATATATATATATATATATATATATATATATATATATATATTATATATATATATATATATATATATATATATATATATATATATATATATATATATATATATATATATATATATATATATATATATATATATATATATATACAGTTGCTATTCTAGGAAATTAATTTGGGTAACGGTACGCCTGTGCCGGCGCCTGAAAAATATGTTCAGTGCTGTTGAAAAAGGTCTAGAATAGCTCCTGATATATATATATATATATATATATATATATATATATATATATATATATATATATATATATATATATATATATATATATATATATATATTATGCATGCTTAGTAAATATTAAATTCAAGGGGCGTTTATTGTACCTATTTTTAGCAAAAATTTGCTTTATAAAATTATTTATAGTGGATAGGGAGGCCAAAGTACTATATATGTTATGCATACTTAATAAATATTAAATGTTATTGACAACAGTAATCACCCTATCCCATAAAAATGTAAAGTTAAATATCATGAATTCACAAATTATATATTTTTGGAATCAATGTTTAAATTAGATTAAGAAGCAAAGAAAAAGTTATAATAGAAGTCTTTTTTTTACTTTGGCTTAAACCTTTATTGTTATAAGGATATATATGGCAGGATATTCTTACTAAGAAGTTCTTAACATGTCTCTATTTGATGGTAATAGTAGCATAGGAGCTTTTAAATAGATCTGTTTAAGAGATAAAGCAGCCTTTGTTCCTTTACCTTGCCCAACCCTTCCGTTTTTCTAAAACTTAGTACTAAGTGTATTTAATTTTATATTTTGCATTTAGCTCTTTCATAAGCTTATTCATCAATAGTTAGGGCCTTAAAAATGAGCACTCGATTCATTATACAAGGCAAAAAGTTGCATTTGCACCAAGTTTATATTGCTTCTGCTGTAAAGTGACATTTCATGACTCTCTTTTACTTTTGCAAACAGAATTAATCTATGTTGAACATCAACATTTGTTTTTGATTTATCCACACATTAATTTAAGTTATGTAATTATTGATTGCACTATCTATGTGATCTATAGATGACACTATTGGTTACTATAGATGACGCTATTGATTATCATAATCAAAGATTGCACTTAGTGACCAATATTGTTCATTTTTTTTTTTTATGTAAAAACTGTGACAACTGTTATTTTCGGCAAATTAAAATGTGTAGTTTAATTGATTGTGTCTAAAGTCTATAGAAAAACTACTATATTCAGCACAAACTTTGATTTTATGACCACAAACCAAAATAATGTTGATATGTACTCTCGCGTGCCAAATATAAAGAACTTGGGGGGGGGGGGGGGAGCTGGACTTAATAAAAAAGTGGATGGGATTTTTTTACAAAAAACAATTTACCACTAGCCAAAAACTAAAACTAGCCAGGGCACTGTAAACAATTCAAAAATATTCTACAAAACTATTATTAAATGTGATTCGAAAATTTTCCCCAAAACAAATAATTTTCAAAATATCATCATCTTAATTCACAAAAGCAAAAGTTTTTATGAAATAAATTTTATCGATTTATTTTTTGAAATAAAATCTTTCATCTATTTGTTTTATGAAATAACATCTTTTATCTATTTATTTTAGGTTTTATGAAAATAACATCTTTTTATCTATTTGTTTTAGGTTTAATAAATCAATCAAATACACTTTAAATACGGCAATAACAACAAAAATTGTTACACATTTTATTGTCATTGAGCTATACATGTTTTGTTAATTTGTTGCTTTTTCGTTCAATAGGTTTATTTTTACGGCTGGTCGTCAAATAGCGGTTCGTTTAATTCGCGTTTATCTAATATAGAATCGTTTAACTCGCGTTTATCAATTTTTTCATTGTACGACCTTTATACGTTGCAAGACGTTTAATCATAAGAAACTATTGCATCCCAGTGAAGAGTTTTGAAATTATTTTATAAATTAATATATTTTTAAAAATAATTTATTTAGAAAAAAATTTTTTGTCTATGTAAAGATATATGTACATAAGTATTTTTTTTTTTTTAAATAATAAAAAAGTAAAGTACGAATTAATCTAAAAAAATAATTTCTTCCAAGTTTATATTTTAAATTTGAAGCTTTTTCAGATTTTCTTATTAGTTTTTTATGAGACTCAAAAAGAATTTTAAAAAACGACTTTGAATATTTCATAGATTTTTGTATTGCATAGATTTTATGTCTCGATCAGTTTTTATGTCTCGATCAGTTTTTGATGAGAATTTATAAATAGTTGTATTACACATTTATAACAATCTTGTATATTTATTTGTTTGTTTTTTTCTTTTAAGTTTAGATTTAAGGGAAGTTTGGACTGTAAACTACGAAAGCTTAAGAAATCTATTAAATTATAATTCATAATTTTTTTTTTTTTTTGTAACTTTAGTAAAAAAAGATAAGTTTTTGAACCTTATCTTTTTTACTTCTGATGATCACCATTTTACACTAATGAAGACGGCTACTCAATTCTTATACAAAACCTCTTTTTGAATACTATGATATTTTACAAATTAAATAAAATCTTTTGGTATCAAAATCAAAAATTAACACATTCGATTTTAGCATATGACCTAACTATAAATATAGTCTATTAGAGACCACAAAACTTGTATAGACGTAGAACTAATAGAGTTATACTGTAACAAGCTATATGAAAAAAGTTTTTTTCTAAATTGATGGTTTTTATGAACAAACTCGATAAACATTAAACAAATAATATACATTTTTTTTTTACGCCTCCTTGCTTACCGATTTTATGAAACTTGCCCAGAAATGGCTTTTAACCACGATCTCCAGCTTCTGAAGTAGCTGAATAGCTCAGTTGGTTAGAGTGTCGAACGAAAAGTTAAAACTTGGATTGTTCTACGATACAAGTTCAAATCCTGCCACCGCCAACTCAGCGCTAGAATAGTACCTCTGTACGCAAAATCGTTGGTCCATAACGGACGCTACTTTGGATTAGTCTTAATGACTATTTGTGGCTGTTCCTATGCTAAGCCAACAATATCTTCAGATATACCATTGTATAGAAAATAGAAAATATAGCATGAAAATTCATATGAAAAAAAGCAAGTTCGCTAATCACTTTGCTACGGCTGCTCAAATCTAAAGAAACATAATCTTCCAGGGGCCGTATTCTTATCTCTCCGTTAAGCTTAACGGAACGTTAGAAAAAAATTTCTTTTTAACTACATTAATAAAAAGGTTCTTTAAAAATATAAATTTTTAAAAATAAATTTTTTATTTTAGTATTAGCTTTATTTTAAAAAATTTAAATAAGATTTTCGTCATTTCTTTACTTAGATATATTGTAATGAAATTTCAGACAAAAGCTCCGTTAAGCTTAACGGAGAGATGAGAATATGGCTGCAGAGCTCTTTAAGACTCTGTATATCTTTGAATCTTATGGAGCATGATATATTTATCATGTAATATGTTACATATTATCTATGTAATCATGATATTTATTATAACAAAGCTTGTAAATTTTTTTTCATAATAAATACAGTGCAACGACGGATGTTTCCGTGTGGTTGTAGTAAATTGTTTCTGTGGTTTAATTTCAAAAAAAATTATACTCCAATCAGAAAGCCCTGGCAACAACAATCAAAAAACTTTGACAAATTTTTTAAATGTTTTTCAAATATTAGACTTCTTATAATAACAATTATAATTTGTAAGTTACATATTGTACACATAGTAAGTTACATATTGCTCAAGTAATCGTTAATTATTATTGAAGGAAAATTTAACTTAAGTGAATTAGAACGTAGTCAAAATAAATTAAAATCGACAATTAGTAATTTGGTTTTTTTGAATCAGATAAAACAGTTTTCATTTATCTAACAACTTATTTATTTGCATTTTTTTTTTAAACAAAAATATATAATTAATAAAGATTCTGCAGTTTTTCTCCTATTTCTTAAGCTGGACAGATAAATATATGATGAAATCTTTGAAAAATCCATTAAACTTACGTTACCAATAACAAAAAAATAGTATAATTTTTTATGTCGAAATTAAATGTTTCTAACTGGAATAAAGAAATAAAGACTTGTGTTTCTTAACAAGAAAATGTTACTTTTAAGCAGCCGTGGCGTAGTGGTTAGAGTGCTTAAGAACTTAAGAAGCAAGAGATCGCGAGTTCGAAGCGAGTTCTGTGATATTTTGAGCCATTGGTAAGGAAGGAGGAGTGAACTTCCTATTTAAATGCTCTTCCACAGTGACAAGACAGGTCTTCTTGGAGCACCTTAAAATAAAAATTATAAAAAACGACCAAATAAAATAAGTTCAAACCATCAATCAATGAATACATATTCACTATCCTCATGGCTAAATAAATTAGTCAATGTATGTACACTACACTACTATGCGCCTATATTTTTTATTTTTATAGATTTTTAATTCTAACTTTATGGGCGTGAATATCCGCAAAATAATTTAAAATAAACGCTTATAAAGTTTAAAGTAAAAACCTCCTATAAATATGTTTTTATGTTAAAAATGACTTTTGATGATAAGATTTTAAAATATAATTTTCACCTTTTAAAAGAACTGTTTTATATTTTATATTCAGATTGCTTCTATCTACTTCAAATCAAATTATATTTTTAAAAACAGTCAAAAAAAGTTTTTATCAAATTAAATAATTAAAAACGAATAAATTTTTTAATTCTTTTAAACTATTTAAATTGATATTTATCTACAAAACTTGATTATTTCATAACCAGAACGTTATTCCAATAGATTTTTATATTTTAGTATATCATGTCTGAAAGATTTGTTTACAAAATTAAAATCCTAGCTTTGTATTTTTATTTTTAACCAAACGCCAATTTAAGCTATATATGAAATGATAACAGCTGTATAAACCCTTTATTACTATTATTGAATTTCATTCCTTTTTCTTTATTATTTGGAGATTTGAATCATATGAAATAAAGAGAAAAAATTGAACTTTTAGAGTTAAAACCTACTACCTACTTTTTTTAAGTAAAATTTTCGGGAAAGTGCGTTTACCTTTGATTATCTGACATCTCATTGATGGTTTTTGTTTTTGTTGAATGGTAATGATAATTTTTGCATAGTTTTAAGGTGGTATTTGGTGCATAGCTTTGAGGTGGTGTTTGGCGCACAATTAATAGAGAGTTCTATCAAAAGTTTACTAGTAACTTAAAATATTCGGCAAACGGTCTTTTAAACATATTATTAGAAAATTTTACTTCAAATTTAAATATTTTAATTGTTATATACAATTATCAACTAAAAACAACATTTTCATTTTTTAAAACCCTATTCTATATGTCTACGTTATAATCCCCACTGATAAATGAATTTCGTTGTTAGAATTGTTTTTATTTGCAACTCTTATAATAAACACGCATAACATGTGCAGTAAAGTACGAAAGAAAAAATTTACGCTGTGAAGGAGGTTAATTTGAAACATGACCCAATAGGTAGATTGTTTTTTCAACATTTGTTTAAACGGAAGTTTTTGACAGACTTTTTATAAAACATTTTTTTGTGTGAGTTCATTAATAGTGCTATTTAAGTATCTTCCAAAATAATTTATTTAGTCTACGACTTATCTAATATGCGTTTCTTAAGTTTTCTATTGTGTGTATGTTTTGTTCTATATAAACCAAGTTTTTCAAAATGTAAGTCTTTTTTATCAAATTATATTACCAAGATATTAGTTAATTTTCTTAAAGTCAAATATATGAAAAAGTTTCATTTTTAAAATTATACAGATTTTGTAATTTTTATTTAATACTATCTACATCTAATCTATCTACATCGTAAAATAAACAACTATACAGAGACAACGGTAACGAATTCATGTTTCAACATATAAATACACTTGTGCCGTTTTCTCAATTTAGCAGAAAGGAGAGTGTTTAAAAAAAATACACACTAGTAGTTGCTTGAACTTAACTTTTTAAAAGCAGTGTATGGTGAGTGTTATTAAAAATTGGTTAAAAACTGTGTTTATATAACGGACGTGATTTTCATGAATTTTTAAAAACGTTCGAAAAGCTTAATAAAATTATAAAAAAAACAGAAATCGCTTTTCTGTTTTCACAGTAAAGGTTTTAAACCGTTTAAACTTCGCAAAAAAAAAAAAAGTTTTATTTTTATATACAAATGCACAAAGATTTATATAAAATTCATCTTAATAATTAACAACTCGTTACTCGATACAAATTTATCTTTATAATTAACAAATTTGTATAAATCTTAATAATTAACAAATCATATTTTGTTCGTTATAGTATCTCCAACAAAGTTTTAAAACCTGTTCTTTGTTTTAAAGGTGTGTGTTTAGTATATGAATTTCTTAGTTTATAATCGTAAATTTATGTTCCAATTGTTTACGCCATTACTTTTTAGAAAGTCTAGATCTGCTGTAACAGATAAATATCAAGGTTCCTCAAATTCTGTGCTAAAGTTTTTTTTTTTTTTTGTACTTTAAAAATGTTCAGATATGGTAGCAGCAAGAAAACAATCATAATTTGCAAGAATTTGAAAATACTTGATTGAAGGCTAATCTTGATGATGAAGATGAAAAGTGCTTATCTTTTATTAATTCTACTACTAGAAACAGACAAACTCTTTTTACAATAAAGTGATTTTTAAAACCCTGTTTTCGGCAGCTTCAAGAAATTTAATGTTTGTTTCATCCAATACTCAAGATATCCTGAAAATATTTTTAGTAGAGTATAATAATGTTTTTGATCAGTGATGTTATGCTTTTTAGCTTGATGATATCATAATAACATGATCATATCATGTTATTATGATATCATATCATAATAATAATCAGGCTAAAAGTCATAACATTATCGATCAAAAGTTCTAATCTATCAAAAAAACTTTCAAGATATTTTGAGAATTGGGTAAAGCAAGCATCAAATTTCTTCGTCCGTAAACAGAGTTTTAAAAACAGAATTAAGGTCAATCAGAATACTGCAAAAATGTAAAAAAAATTGTCTGAGTAGCTAATTGTAGAAAACCTTTTTTTATTTTCTATGGAATAATTAACTACTAGTGAAGAGGTATGAGAGAAGAAGTTATTGCCTATCATAACATTAACTCCTGACTTCTTTTTTAAAGATATATATATATATATATATATATATATATATATATATATATATATATATATATATATATATATATATATATATATATATATATATATATATATATATATATATATATATATATATATATATATATATATATATATTTATATAATATAAAAGCTGCTCTATTAAACCAACTGTTGTTAAATAACATTATTACGCTATGACCTCCGATACAAAAGGTTGATCACCGGTTGAATCCTTATAAACTATTGCTAAATTTCACTTCTGTTTTCTTATAACAAACTAGTTAATATAACAACTCTAGTTATACAAAATATTTCATTTTTTTTAAAGGTTTTTTGATAATGTGGTTATTTTTCACTTTGTGCAAAGTTCAACTTTTACTAAAAAGTTTTTTTTTTTTACATAATAGTTAAACTCTAGTTTTCTATGGCTTTAAAACAGTAAATTTCAAAACAAAACTATGATAAACACTTAAAACAGTTTACTCACCTTTGGGTTCAATTCTGAGCAGCTGCACAGCGGTTGCAAGCAATAACTTTTGTCTTACTATTTTAGACAATTTTTTTAATTAAAAAATAAAATCGAGTTGTTAAGTGATTTTCAGCTTTTATCGAATATTCAACTGTTAGAGAGTAAAACATCTTTTTGTTGTTGTGCAAAGTTTCTTACGATTGTGCAATGTAACCCATTTTAAAAGCATTTCTTTACGAATGGTCAATAAGTTATTAAACTAATTACATGTTTAACTACTAATCATTTTTAAAATGATTTTTTTTATGTGTTTACTATGTGTTTATTTACAGCGATTTTAAGATATCGAAGAGACACGGTACGAAACCCTTCAAGAAAATGGCCAGGTGGAACAGTGCCGTTTCTTTATTCAGCTAATACAAGTAAAGAATTTATTTACTGCTTGTAATACGGTTTGTAGCGCAATTTTTTTTTTAATTTTATGATTTTTAAAGTTCGAATAAGAAAGTTTTGGATCACGGTTATTGGATTATATCCGTAACACTTATCATAAGCAAACCTTTCTGGAAAGACGTCCGCTGTAACTTTTGTATCTATTTTTTAATTTTATATTAAAATTCATTAACAAATTTTTAACTTTATTAAAAGCCTCACGGGGTTTAAAAGACTATGTTCTTTGAAACTTTAATAAATTTAGAAAACTAAAAACAGACAAAAATAAAAATAATAGTAAAAATGGAAAAAAAAAAAAAGTGAACATCCTCTTTCGTTTACTCTAATGGTTGATAAATTTTCATATCTTTTTATTACAAATATTTGATAGAACTAAGTTAAAGGAGCTAATAATCGAAGTTTTTTTGCTTCCCGTTAAACATTAAATTACTAAACCTGTATTCCAAATCTCTAATTGTAATAAATGATTATTTAAAACGAGTTTTTGGTATAATGAGGCAATTTGTTCTCTAATAGAATAATGAGAATGAACTAACAAAATATTGTTAGCTGATGAAAAAATTTAGTATAATATTAGAACATATAAAAGACGGTTTAAAATCAGTATCATAGCAACGAAAAATAGGACTCCCCACAAAATTTTAATCCGCGCACCTAAATTACTTTTCTCCCCCTCCCCTCCCCCTCAAAATAAAAAAAATTATACATGAAACAAAGGCCTTATTTTTAAATACAATTTTGATTTAATTTAATGGAAACAAGTATGTTACATATTGTATAGCTAAGAATTTGTAATTCTTACCTATACAATGATAGCAAAAATGTGATTAAATATATTTGAAAAATTTGGCTCTTCTGTTTAAAACACTTTCTAAAAGTAAATTTGCTTAAAGCTTTTTTTCTCTTTAAAAAAAGAAAGAAAAATAAAGTGAAAATAAACTTAAACGTTAAATAAAATTAAATTTATTTGTTACTAAAATTTAACTTGTTAACATAAAAGTATTATCAAATGTTTTAAATTTTTCAATTCAAAAAAAAAAGTTTTTTTAGAACAAATCAATATTATCATGTGTTTTTTTTAAATATATAGGTAAACATCTCAAAAAAATAATTACAAATTTTTTTATTTAACTTTTCCATTGGGCATGTGAAATTGGTTGCTTTCTAAAAAATGCTTGGCAAAAAAAAAATTTTTAGAAAAAAAAATTTTTAGAAATCAAAAGGGTACAGCATTTTAAATTAAAAAATCTCTTCAAAATGACGACCTTCTAATATAAAATATTATGGAGTTTGAAAACTAGATTGATACCGTTCGGTTTGCACAAAGTTTTTGGCACTAGTTCTTTTGATGCATTGTTTTTTTATCAAGTAATATATAAAAGTAAATATTTGATATATAAAAGTAAGTATTTCATTGGAACAATGAAATTCATATAATGGAAAACTCGGGTCCAATTGGAATTTCGTTCATGGTCGTTCTTGCAGAATCATTTCTACAATTCCATGAAAACAATGCAATTAAAATTGCACTAAATTTCAACCCTGCACTTAACCTCAAATCGTTCTTAAGATATGTCGATGATAGTCACGCAAGGTTTCCAGATCTCAACCAAGCAAAACATTTCCAATACATTTTAAATCAACAACATCCTTCCATCCAGTATACAATTGAAGTTGAACACGAGTTAGGAACACTAAATTATCTGGATATACAAATTATGAATAAAAAAACAGGAAAGTATGAATACGGAGTATATCGGAAAGATGCTATCACTAACATTCAAATTAAGCCACACTCAAATCATGATCCAAATATCTTGAACTCTATTTTTAAAGGATTTCTCCACCGAGCTTATTCAATCTGTAGTAAGTCTTACTTGCAAAATGAAATAAGTTTTCTAATCGACGTGTTTATTGAAAATGGTTACGATAAAACTCAAATGATGAATATTGCGCATCAGTTTCAACACAAAAGACAAAATAAAATTAGAATTCCATCTGAAATCAATAATTATCCTGTAGTTTCCTTACCATGGGTACCCGGTCTCTCGCCAAAACTTAGGAAAATATTCCGAAAAGCTGGTTACAGGGCGGTATTCAAATCAAACCCAAACTTAAGATCCCTGTTAACATCAAAAAATAAATCAAAATTACCTAATAACAGTCAACCAGGAACATATATAATCAAATGCAACTGTTCAAAAGTGTATGTAGGCGAAACAAAAGTGAAAGTAAACACACGAATGGATCAACACCAAAAAAGCATTGATGAAAATAAGCAGCATCAATCTGCATTAGCTCTGCATAAAACATTTTGCAAAAAAGAAATTATTTGGGAACAAACAAAACATTGAAAGTAGAAAATAAAAAATTTGAAAGAAAAGTTAGGGCCCTAGAAATACAAAAAAACATGTGTTCTGCAAAAAATGGCGGGATTAATCTCGATGAGGGTCAATACGTAAAAAATAAGTTTTGGACGCCATTTTTTAAATTTCAGCGAAAAAGAAGCCATTCAACCGCTGACGTCAATAGCAACGTTTTAATTTAAATTATAACGGTTTACTAATTACTGTAACATTTAACAAGCTGAAGAAACTGGTATCTAAAATCCAGCGAAAACTTCTATAATAATAAAAAAATTATAAGCGTTGAGAGAAATCATATTTTTTGATGTTTTAAAATAATATAAAAGTAAATAAATAAATAGTTGTTATAATGAAACAAAATCTGGAAAGTTATAATTTTATTTGCAAATATATTCAATTGTTTTTTTAGCTACCAGAGAACTACCAAAATTTTAATAAAAACCGCAACCAAATCAATTTATAAAAAAAAGCAAAAAAATTAAAAGTAAAGAGATGAAGTAAAAGCAGTAACGTAGCTAGAAATTTTGGGTCCATAGGTAACAATCCGTGGTGGTTCCCTAGTCCCCACCCACATGACCTAACTCGGTATAATGTAATTTATAAAAGTAAAATTGTGTTCGTAATTTTGTATTCGTAGTTTTACATTTGTTTCTTGTTAAAAATCAATAAAATATTTGAACAAATTAACAAATTAAAATTAAAAATAAATGACTCAATAGGCTGAAAAGTTTGTGAGCTAGTCGTTCATGAAAATACAATATTACAACTTAAAAGTAATAAGTTTAGAATATCGTTGATTCCGTAACCTGCTTTGGCCAATAGAATTTCTTTTATAATCCTTTATAATTTTCAATTCACTAAACTATCGTTCAACAGTGGCTACTGTAACTGGAAGTGTAAAGAACAACATAAAAGCAGTAAAGATTTCAGAAAATTCACTTTTGTAAGCAGTTATACCTTTTGAGAAGCAATTCTGAAAAAGTTTTTATAGACATTTTTTTCATTTTATTCTTTTTTTATTAGAGAAATTGCGTGTAGAAACTGCATTTGAAACTCAGAGGATATCATTTCTGTGTATTGGTTGGCGAATAATTTTGAAAGTTCTGCTTCTGGTAAAATAACAATGTTTTTGGTTCAAGAAATCCAAAACAGTTTTTAATTGTTTGCATCCCTATAAAACGTTGCTTAGTCTGAGTATTAATTTTGTCCAAACAAAATAATATACATCAACTTTGAATAATTGCTCCTTGTCTTCAACGCGATAACCTGAGGCCAACTCATCAAAATATTTTTTTTTTGTGTGGTTGTCTTTTTGCCTGAAAAAAACCGTGGTAACTTAGAGAAAAATGGCCCCGTCTGTGTAGGCCCCTAGGCATTGCCTACTCTTTCTATATGGTAGCTATGTTTCTATGGTAGCTTTGTTTCTATGGTAGCTATGTCACTGAGTAAAAGTAAAATTAATTTAATTTAAATGAGAAAGTTTTAAATGTAAAAGATTTGAATGAAATAAAAGAAATAAAAAATTAAAAATCGAATTTAAAATCAAAATTAAAAGTTTAAATTTAAGCCAATAAAGGAATGGATTTAATCTAATATATATAATTTAACTAATGAAGATTTTAATCAATTTATGATTTGTTATTTTTACAAATTTTCTGAAAGATTCTTACGCTTTAATTTATTTACTTTTTAATGTAAATATCTTTAAATATACAACTTTAAAAAGTCTTCTACTTTCCTCACACAATATTACTTTTGTAGTTATTATTATCATTAGTTTAGTGTCTTGCTACTCTTTAGATATAAATAAAAGTTTTTTCTCTAAAATTTTTTCTTCTTCTTTTTCTTTTTATTACCATTGTTATGTTTGTATATATTGGAACTACTCAAGTTAATCAAATAATGATTATTTTTTTATTTATCCGTTTCCTAATTTTCGTCCATAAATATTTTTTCTCACAGTTCTTAATTTTCTCTATATATTTTTGCTTCATCTTTCTGATCATATCAATTAACCATTTAAAGATTTTATTAAACTTAAAAACACCAAAGTTACATGCCGATCTTTTAAATTTTTAAGCCCTTTCCAGTTTCATGTATCTCGAATACTGGAAGTTTACTTAACGGGTCCGTAGAAAATTTGCGTTCCTTATCAGTCTTTAAACCTTCATTTCACCAAAACAACCATTTATGTGCCATAAAAAATGTTTTCAGTAAAAATTAAAAAGCATGACTTAACATAAATATTGTTTTAAAGGCTACCAAACTAAAATGGCGTTCGAAGAAGCAGTAAGAGAGATCCAAAAAGTATCGTGTGTAAGATTTGTTCCAAGGACGCATGAAAAAGATTATGTCAGAGTTATCACAGGAGCAGGGTAAACAGCATTAATTTTAAACTTTTAACTTTTTTTCTTGTTTCAAACATTTTTCAGCTTTTAATTTTCTAAAACTGCAGATGCTATTCAATGATCGGCAAAGATGGCGGTGAGCAAGAGCTTTCCCTGGGACAAGGTTGTTATCGGAAAGGAATTTCACTTCACGAAATAATGCATTTACTTGGATTTTTTCACGAACAATCAAGACCAGATAGAGATGATCATGTAACTATACATAGCTCTCACATATCAGAAGGTTTATTTTACTGTTATGACTTTGTATTTTATTTTTACAGAGTTTTTTTTTTTATTTTAATTAAATTATTTTTTAAACATTTAACAAATAGTTTAATTAAAAAGCGAATATTTTTTATTAAAGCGTTAGTTGTGATTAACTTTAAATGTGAAAAACAAATAGATATAAAAGTGTTAAACAGAAAAAAAAGGAAATTAAAAGAATTTAACTTAGGACTATTAAACTAAGACATTGTTAAAGAAAGAAAAAAAAAATACTAGGCATTAACAGAAGAAAACACACATAAAACATTTTTTATTTTTGTCTACCTAGCTTCTCATGGAAAAAGTATGGGTTACACCACATTTACCTCTTAACTGTGGCGTAGATTTAAAGTTTTAATTAAAAAAGTAAATTCTAAAACAGATATTGGGTTTGTTAAACTTTTAACTTTAAGTTTTGTTAAAAATATACATTGTGCGTGGGGTTGGGGTAGGATTGTTACATTTCCATGCACCTCCTGTCGTTTAACCATTCTAATGAGTAATAAAGTTTAAAAGTATGTTACAAAGTAAACATTCAAATTTTTTAGATGCTCGAACTCAATTTCGAAAGTATCGTTACGAAGACGGAGATACACTTGGAGAAGATTATGATCCAGATTCGATAATGCATTATGAAAATAATGCGTTTTCAAAAAATGGTCAATCAACAATAACTCATAAAAAATATCCATGGAAAAGTTTTGGTCAAAGAGAAAAATTAAGTGACATTGATAAAATTCAACTTAATAAATTATACAGGTTTCTCGAATGACTTCTATCTTTTTTTAAATTATTTTTTCAATCATTTATACCACTAGTTGTTACCAGTTGCAATTTTTGTAGTTTTACTGGTAAAATTGAGGCTTTATTGTTATACTAATTGATACCAGTCGACGGTGTAATACAATTAACATGAGTAATTTGGTAAGAAGATAATAATAATCAGGGCCGACCCGAAGAGGTTTTCCATGGAAGGGGAGGAGGGTGTTGTATGTATTTTTTGCCAACTAGAGACACAGAAAAAAAAAAGGTCCTCAATATTTGCAATTTGCCAACTATAGTTCAAAACTTGCTCAATGTGCCAACTCAAATGCTTATATGACAGCTTTGGGAAGGGGGGGGATCCCCTACACCCCGTTAGGGACTGCCTTGATAACAATGATAGTTTTATTTTACAGTTTTGAGTTTTAATAATGAATTTGTTTGATAATAGGTGTAAGAAAACAAACGATAGCAACGATATTGATAAAAAAATCAACGAAAATAGTAAAATCACTTCTAATACAGATAAAGGTTAAAATTTATTTTTATTTAAGAACAATTTCATTTTCTCGATTATTTTCTTAATATAAAATTTATAAAATTATATTTAATATGAGCTTTTCTTGACAAAAATATTTACGATACAAGCTTTATTTTAGTCGTATGTGCAGACAATCAATGGTCATCTTTAAACGGAGAGTGTATAATTGGATATTTTATGGGTCGTTGCAACAGCTCCCCAGTAAGAATGTCTATGCTGTGTCCAAAAACATGTGGATTTTGTAGTCCAACTTGCAAAGACAATTCTCCATTTTGTTCATCGTTATCAGGTTTTGTTTTCTGCGAAAGCAACTACGCAAAAAACAGGTGTAAAAAATCATGCGGTTTTTGTTAGTTCTCTGGTTGATAATAAACCAATTGAATATATTTGCAAATAAAATTAAAAAACTTTCCATATTTTGTTTCATTATAGATTTTCTATAAATTCTAACGTCGTCTTTTGTAAGACTTTTAAAATACTCTTGAAGATATTCTGTATTATAAATAAGAAGTAATAAATTTTATGAATAACATTTAATAAATTTTAATAAACTTGATAAATGAAAAATGTTTAATAAATTTTATGAATGACAATTGACTTGCTAATATTAAATAAAATAACTACAACAGATAGAACAACATCTTTATTAGAAACAAAGTCTTCACTCAAAGCTGTTCAAAATTCTTTAGAAAAATTGCTTAAGAATAGAAAAGCAATTTTTAGAGAAAATTTATATCAGATTTATTTTTATCGCAAAAAGTTCAAATAATTTTGTTTGTTGAACTATTTTTTACTTCGATGATGAGAATAAAAAGATGATGAGATGATAAGGATAATAATGCTATGACAAAGATGATGATGATAATGATGTTAATAAAAGCTTGAAAAATATATATTAAAAATAAAGATTTTTATATACATTAAAAGTTTGATATTTCTGCAAATATGTTAAAAAAAAAAGAAGATAAAACTAGGGTCTTTAATCAAATAACAACCATTAGCAAGAAAATGGCAATAACAGTTGACCAAAAATTAATGGGCGCCATTTACAGTAATGTACAATTATTTTCTAGAAATAAAGTCTTGAAACTAAAAAATTTTTTTTACTTCAAGTTGTTAAAATTAAAAAGTCCCTAATTCTACTTAATGCACCTCCTAACATCGAATGCAATACTGTCCGCTTTCTCTATGCTGTCTTTCTAACACGACTACTTCTGTCTTTCACTCTAACATATCTTCGTTCTTTTTAAACTCACTTTACTCTTGATCCGTAGAGCGGGTTATGACGCTCCTTGGGGAGCCGAACCTGTCTTTGAGGTACCTTGGTAATGTTGCCTCTTGGTAATGGCAACTAGCCGGAGGAGGATAAACCACAATATCAAATTTAAAAAAAAATTAAAGAAATTTGTAATTTTCAAAAATATTAAAAACAATTTGTTTTTAATATTTTTGAAAAGATTTTCTTTTCTTATTTTTTTATCTCATGCTTTAATTACAAATAAACGGTAACCACAATTACAAACAAACGGTAACCACTTTTTAATGGCTTTTTTAAAGTTTACGTAGAATAAGGTTCTTTAATGTTACGTAAATATATAATGTGGCTCCAGAATTGCGTTTTTACATATTGAACATCATCTAAATTCATGCCAACGTTCTTAGGTCCGCACTTGTTAAACTGAATTTCAATTGGCTCTCGAACTTTTCATTCAAATTGTTTAGGTTCTACTTTCAACGTTTTTACTTGCCCCCGTTTTGTATTGCATGGACATTTGTTTTTACGATGCCCAATAGCAGATTAATCCCATTTTTCTTTAAATATTAGTAAATAATATATATAAATAATACTCAAATATATATAAATAATACTAAAATAAATAAATTTATGGTGTTGTTTTGTTCTTGTTGGTATTTTCATTTTTGTTTTGCCAAAGTATTTTTGTCTACACCCGCATTCTATTAGGTATACTCCGGGATAGTTATCTGATAGTAGTTTTATTTTGTTGCGTGATTTAAGATTTGCACTAGATTTAAAGAATGTCTTGTAACCTGCTTTTTTTAAAGATTTTTCGAATTTTTGATAATAATATTGGGATCAAGATAGTTATATCGTTGGCATGGTTGCTTCATTATTAGATAAAACTATTTCATTGTTTGAGTGTCATTTTTTTATAACAACATTTGCAAGGTTTTTTCATTTTTTCTTTTCGTATCCATTTTCAGCAAACAAATCTATTAGGAAATCGATTTCTTTATTTAAAATTTTTTAGAGCAAATTGGTAAAGCTTTATGAACCTTAAATATTCTTTCTAAGATTTTTGGATCGTGGTTTGACTTTGTTATTGCTTCTTTTTGATAAATGTTAAAATCATAATTGCATTTACGATTGTTGGTTATTTGGATATATATTTAAAAATTTAATCTTTTGTTTTCATCTTCCAATTAGATTGTGTATTTAATGGAATGATGTTGAATGTTTAATATTTGTTGAAAATGGATGATATTATCTTTGTTAGTAGATTTTGCGTGGCTATCATCAACCTACCTCAAAATGGTTCTATTTCTAGCGGTGGATTAGAATGAAGCGTTATGTCAACTGTTTATTTTTGAAAAATCACAGGAAATCTCCGGCAAGTATTACCATGAGTGAAAATCCTATAGAACCTGAATCTAAAAGCTCGTGAACTTCTTCACTCCATAAAAAATAACTTTTATATAAACACAGCCAAGCAAACATTTGGTCTAAAAAAGACATTTTTAATACGTCTTTTAAACGTAGTAGACGTTTTTTTGCAAGCTTAAAAGACGTCTTTTTTAGACCGAATATCTGAGAGCTCTGTCAGTGATTTTATTTCTGAAACGTTTATTTTTGTTAGTTTATTTTTGTTAGTTTATTATTAACTTGGGAAGAGCTCTAACATTATCAAGAAAAATTTTTTTGGTCTCTCTCAGATGGATTGATAGATATAACTTGACAACGTCGTAAGACATCTGTATTTCATCGTTTGATATACTCCAAAGTTTAGCTGTTCCTTTAACTTTGTTATGATTTTATTTAAAATTGGTTGAGTTATATTTATTAAATACCGTGATATTCCATGACAAGATGTCCTGATGGTTGAAACTACTAATCGTATATGATTTTTCTGGTTTGTGTCCTTTAATTACGCCATACATACGTGGCGATATTGGGTTGCTTGGTTATAGACTTATATTCTTTTTTAGTAAATTGCACTTTTTTATTCAATTTTGATAGTACTAATTTTATTGGCAAATTTAATGGTCAAGTTCTTTTTAATTATTTTTGTTTGTCCAATTTCTTAGCAAATTTTGTCCAATTTCTTAGCAAATTTTGGCTTGTTGTGTTCCATTTTAACAAAACCCGCTCCTTTATCAAAATAGTATATATCAATGTTTTTGTCCTCTTTAATTTTTTTTATTGCTTGTTTTTGGTTATTATCTAAAATGCTGTTTTTTTGCGGTTTAAACATTATACGTTGCCTCAACGTATTTCTCCATAAGTCTTGCGAACTCTCTATTTTGTTGCGATACTCTAGTTTTAACGCAATGGATTCTGTTACTGAAATAATGTCTAAATAGGGTATATTATGTTTAGTTTGAACAAGTTTTGGTTCAAGTTTTAAAGGATTCGTAGTTTTCAGGTATTACCGTTTCTCATGGGTTTAACAAATCATCTTTAAAAAATGAACGCGCCTTAGCTTTTCCCTTTGGTTTATAATTTTCACTATATTGAATTTTTTGATAAGACCATATTTAGATTCAACAAATTATTACAAACAAAACTTTTTTTACATACAATAACTTTTTTTTTGGTTTGGTTTATTCATGGTAAAAAAAATTTACAAATTGATATCAAAGAGCGGCACACCAGGCCTCTCTGTTATGAAAATACAGTTTTTCAATTTCAGATAAAGAGAAGATGCCGGAGCAGGGAAGGTTCGTGTTTGAAATTGTTCAAGTTCTTTGCGTCCACCGCATTTTGGGTTAATGAATTCCATAATTTTACAACACGGTTGGTGAAGAAGTTGTTTCTTTCAGCGCAGTTTCGGACAAGTTGTGCTTTTAGTTGTTTAGTATGTCCACGCGGCCGAAAACTATACTTTGAAGATTCCGTGTTTGGTTGAAGTTGAGGGACCTGAAAGTTAACTTTATCGATTTTGCTCATGATTTTATGTTGCTCGATAAAGTCTCTCTTTTACGTCGTTCAGTTAGTGTTGTCAGTTTAAGGCTTGATAGTCTTTGAGTAAACGAAATGTATACTCAAAGACTATGTTTAAGGGTGGCAATATGTTTTGTGGCTCGGTGTTGAACTTGCTCGAGTTTGGCTATGTCTTGAGTTAAAAACGGTGAATTCTAGGTGTGGGCGAACGTACGAAATATACAGTGTGCGCCATAATGCAGAACTTTGATCTCAAAATTCTGATTTTATTACATACAAAATATTTTTACATACAAAATGTTTTTAGATACAAAAAATTTTTAGTTAAAAAAATTACATTTGTCATGCATTCTTAAAAGTTAAATATTATTCCTAAGAGTCGCGGATCTTTTTTGCTCCAAATAATCGGGCGTGTTTATTTTTACGTTTACGGAACTTCCTACATATCGCGACGTTAGAATTATCTTGTTCTATCTCCACATTTTTTAGTTTTGAGATAAAACGATTTAAAGTATAAAAACTTTAGGAGACGGCCTATAAATTTTTTTTATAACTTATGTTTTTTCCGCAACTTTTTTACTTATAACTTAGATTTCAATTCAGTAGAAAGACAATATTTTGAGGTACACAACACTATCATTAACTCAACTTTTTCAGAAAGTGGAGATAGAACAAGATAATTCTAATGTCGCGATATATAAAGAAAAGATAAGCGATCATTTTAGAGACTAATTTGGCACATTACATTAATTAGTTTTTTCTCAGCATATTTTTTAGTGACAAAATGACGACTAGAGCCGTTGATCACTGGGTGGTTTACCCTATCTTGTTTATTATTCTAAAAAAAGCTCTCTTATAATAAAAACGGTAAAAAAAAAACAATAATAATAACTACAACTTATGTGTTTATTCATTATATCCAAATCTCTATTAATTTGGCAACCCACTGTGGGTGTGTGTGTATATATGTATATATGTATATATATATACATATTTATATATATATATATATATATATATAATATATATATATATATATATATATATATATATATATTTTTAAATTGATTAAGGTGCCCCAAGAAGTCCTCACGGGCTTATCACAGAGCACCGCGGAAGAGCATTTAATAGGAAGTTCACGCCTCCTTCCCAACCGATGTCGCAAAACTTGTCCAGATGTGGGGTTTGAACCAGGGATCTTACGTTTCTGTAGCAAGTGCGCTACCACTGCGCCACGGCTGCTTCAATATATATATATATAATTAGCAAAACACCATTACCATTAATATATATATATATATATATATATATATATATATATATATATATATATATATATATATATATATATATATATATATATATATATATATATATATATATATATATATATATATATATATATATTAATGGTAATGGTGTTTTGCTAATTAGTGTCAGTTTTTTTTTATTTCAATATTCTTTATATATATATATATATATATATATATATATATATATATATATATATATATATATATATATATATATATATATATATATATATATAGAATATTGATATAAAAAAACTGTCACTAATTGGCAAAACGCCATTACCATAATTCAACATACAAAGAAATAACACTTTTAATTAATATGTCGCGCATTAATAATTTTGTTACAATATTACGATAATATTATTCATTTAGAATATTTTCATATAAGTTTTCGATACTTTGTATCAAAAATAATAAAACCTAATTTTTGGAATTTGTTCACATATATTAATAATGAAGTCGTGAAGAACAAAAAAAATACTACATTTGACAATCGAACTTTTTATAAATTGAACTTCTACTCGGTTACAAAAAGAATGAAAACAGGCATTCTATTAATACCAAATTTAAATCATAAAATTAACACCTCTTTGTCAAACAAAAGTTGTTTTTTAACAAATTGATTGATTATGTTAGAACTACATTGATCTAGAAACTACTAAAGGATATCGGTATATGTTTCAATTTATCTCGCGGTTAATGAAAGCAAACATGGGAAATAAAACGTCATTTATACTCAATGTTAACAACAGTTACGTTGTTTGTTCAAGATTGCAATTCGACACTAATACATACAAAAATTTAATCAAATTTTTTTTACTTTTTGATTATAAATTTTGCTCGCTAATACAAATATTATTATCACGTAAGCTTAATAGCTAAAAAAGTATATTCAAAAATAATTAAACATAAAACATTATCTAAAAAAATCTACATGTATAATGTGTTCAATAACAACTAAAAACAAAATGAACTAATTATCGGCTGGATAGCTATCACATTTGTTTCAGTCCAATATTACATTAGAAATTTGCAAAAAACCTAATAAATATTAATGGATATCAAAATAAAGTTCGAACATAAGTCGAACATAAATAAGAATAAAATAAAATTATAGTTTAAAATTTTTTTTTTTAAATTAACCATACAAAAAAAAAAAAAAAAAAAAAATTAACGAAAATAGAAACTCGTTTATTTTATTATTTTAACAATGTCATTAATTTGCTAATATAAACAGGCGTTTAACAATTTATCCTTAACTCAGTTTAATTTAAGCGCCGTGTTTCATTCATTACTGGTTTCCTTTTTGTCGTTTTTGTTGGGAAACAAAAGAATCTCATTTGAATGCTTGCAATTCACACTCAGTATTGATCTATTAATTAAAAAAAACCGAAATATCTTCTAGTTTTTTGCAATTATGTTAAGTTACGCTAATTAATGATGCGAATACATAAATAGGCGCACAGGTTAACTAAAAAAATATATCAAAGAAATATATCGAGAAGCTTGCAATAACTAAGTACAGTTCAAATGAGAGGTTTTACAATTGATGAAATTTTACGTTCAAGTAACGACATTGAATCAAAAACACCAGGAGTGTTTTATCATGTTGGTAAGGTTTAAAACGTTTATTTAATTCACTGGTCATTTTTTTATTTATTTGATATATCAAAATAAAAAAAAACTTATTGCAATTTTTCAAGTTAAATAGTATTGTTTGGTTAGAAAAGTAAGTGCAAAAAATATTGTTTAGAAAGGACTGAGGTTTCAAATGAACTAAAATTTTGTCGAGAATCTCCAAATTCTTTTTGTTCTCTTTCTTCAATCGAAATGGAAGAAGACAAATGTGGGCGAAGGCCAAGAACATCAATAACTCTGTGTCAAAGAGATTTTTTAGAATGCGAGTTCCAGAAAGAACGCTACCCGACACTTTTGTATATCAACAAACTGAGTTCGAAGATAAATTTATCGCAATACGTCATAAAGGTAGGTTTTTTTATTCCTTTATGAAAAATATTAAGATTAGATTATTGAAAATTAGAAAATGATTGAAAACTAAAACCGTTTGAATTACATTTAGGCGTATTTAAGCTAAACCATTAAAGTCGGGCGCATTTGAGCTGAAGCAAATACGACACCCTAATCCCATTAAATAAAAAAATAGTTTTTTCTTGCATCTAAACATAAATAAAATAAATTAAACATCTAAACATAAATAAAAAAAAATTAAAAAGTTTTTCAAGTTAATTTGTTTTTAAATTTTCTCAGTGATGACAAATCGATGTTTATGGTACGTTTTGACGTTTTACATCATTTTGATAATAATTTGATGTCAGGTGCTGACTGGATCTTCTCAAATAAGTGTAATATAATTTAATGCTAAAAATGAACATTTTTTTCTACGTTCAGAAAAACGCTATGATTTTAGAATGACTGTTTTTTTTGTAAATATTATTTTAATTATTTTAGTTTTAACTTTTATTTATTTGTTTAACTTTTATTTATTTATTTTTTATTTATTCTTTTAGTTATTTCAGTTTTAAATATTTTTAAATACTTGGTGTAGTTAAGGCACCTTAAAAATAATATAGCGTCTCTGTGATATTTTGTTGACTACGAGATACTTCCGTTAAATAGTCTGGTCTGTGAATTATGAAAAGACGAAAAAAATTAAAATGATAAATTTTGCGCTACCATAAAATAAAAATGTTTGTAGCGAAAAAACCCAGATCGTGGAATCTTTTTTTTTTAAAAAAATCATCTTAAAATCACAATCGCTCGTTCAAATTTAAATAAGATTTTATATTAATACGTTTTTTAGGTGAAATGAACATTATAGTTTAACAATATGATCTGTTCTCATCGTTTTGTTGGCAATTTTCCATAATTATAAGCTCTTTCTTGGTCGTAATTTCTTGTGAAAATTGATAGAAATATAGTGTTTTGACAACTATATATAGTTAATATACGTCAGCACCGATTAGAACTAGGATCAGTAGTAATTTAAGGAACTGTTTTAAAAGAAACAAAATTCATGTTAATGCCGATGAGCGGAATTGATCTAAAGACTACAAAATAGTGTTCTTTAGATACATAATTACGGGTAGTAAAAGGATTTTGAAAATTATATAAAAAAAGAAAAGTTTCTTTAAACATTATAAAAACTTCAAGCAAAAAAAAATTATAACATTTAAAGATCTTGTTTGGGCATAATATGCTGACAAAACCATGCTAATTCCAAATAAAAGTATTCGAATATTTTGTAAATCGTCTTAACTACACCGAGTAATACAAAAAAAGTTGCTGTTTTAAATAAAACTTTTCTCTTTTAATGCCAGTTGTAACGAATAATTTGCACTCCGTAAGTGCTTCTGGTTTATATTATAGCTTTTTTTTTTGAGGAATACTTTCAAAAAATTGATAATACAATTTTTTTTCATAAACTTATCTCTAGTTAAAACTTTCTTTTCTTTAATAAAGACTTTTTTTTTCCGGAAAAATTGATAACTTACTTGATGATTTTTAAAAAAATGATTTTTTATTTTATGTGAAAGGTGTGGTTCCAAAATAGAAGAGCAAAGTACAGAAAAGAAGGTCATAAGCGTAAACCAACCATAAACATAGATTATACGGACTCAGCAAAAAATGTACGCATTTCTTCTACAAATTGCGTTAGAAAGCTTCGACAAAATTTTTCTGCTTCAAATTCTAAAATCTTACGCAGACATTCCACTTCCTATGATTTATACGGTCCAAGGAGTTTAAAATGCGATGTCTGGTTTCAAAAAGATAGAAAGTGCTGTTCATCGGCAGCAGATAAAAGCAAATGTTGTTATTTCCCAACCTGATTCTAGAAATATATATTTAATTTTGTATAAATATGTGTGTGTGTGTCAGTGTTTAACTTTATTTATTATTAGTTTGTTAATGCAAATGTAAAATATACAATATAACACATAAAACTCTTTAGACAACTAGTTATTTATTTTAAAATATTTTGTTATATAAATAAAACTTTGTATTTATTTATTTATTATTTATTTTATCCTATTTGCATTCTTTATATTTTATATACGCAATAGTATTAAAAAAACAATTTAGTTTTAATTAGATATTTTCTCTTTTAAAATCGACATTTAAAACAATCCGAACAATTAAAATTTTACCAATTCTATGATTAAAAAAGTTTGTTTTATTTACTTGTCAGATGGTTAACTGTTTAGGTACTTATATATATATATATATATATATATATATATATATATATATATATATATATATATATATATATATATATATATATATATATATATATATATATATATATATATATATATATATATATATATATATATTTACCAAATTTAGATATTTTGCTCGAGCTTATAAAAATTAGCAACTACATGTTATTCTAAGAATAATATGAATAAATACCTTTATAAACCGGTCTGCTAAGTTTAATGTTATAACAAATTAATTTCATTTTAAAATAGTCTTTTGTATATGCATTAGATTTCAATGCAACCGGACATAATATTATAGCGTTACATTACCACACTTGGTTAACACCGTCATTACTAAACACGCATAACTTAAAACCTGGAAATAGAATTTCTTTATTAAAAAGTATAAGCTATTAAACTAGGTTTTATTTATTCTTATTAAATTCAGAAAAAAATTTGTAGTTTTATTAAATAACAAGGTTATAAAAATATAAAAGTTTTATGGTTTTAACTTTTAAAACGAAAGTTCCTAATCTGTTAAAATAGAGTGGTTTTTACAAAATAAATAAAACATCACAGGTTAATGCACTGGAAATTTTGTAAATCTTTTTTTTTATAATCTACTTTGGTCCCAACAAGGCTGCAAGCAATCACTATTAAGGTTAGAATTAATAGAAAACGTTTAAAAGTTTTTCGAGCATATCAGCCATAGTACGAGAAAATCTAAAACCATATTGATTGTCAGAGAGTACGTTATTATTCTCAAGAAGGGATGCTAGAAATTTTTTGATCAAAGATTCAAAGGTAAATGATAGAGGGAAGATTAATCGGACGTTGGAGGAGTCATAATTTTTGCTAGAGTATTTAAAAATTAGAAACATAGATGCCATTTTCCAGCACGCAAATAAAATTCAGTCAAGCACTTATTAAATAGTTTAGAGGGTATTGAAAAAAGATTTGAAAAACAATTTTAAATATCTATAACATGAAATTTATCTAAATTACAAGCATTTAGCATGTCTAACTATTGGTTAACCTGTTTATCTGGAATGACAGTAAGAGTATGGCGATTAGATTCAAGGGTCAAATTTGAAATAAAGTTCTTAGCAAATAGATTGTCTTACCTTGGGAGAGGTTATAAGATCAGACCATGAATTCGAGATGGAATGTTCGACTTATCTTTGTAAATGACACTGTTGAAGGTTTTTTAAAGTTCTCCAAGAACTTAAGGTTTGTTTTTAAGAGTGTCTTTTTTGAAAAAGATGAAAAAAATGACTATAATTAGATAAAGCACATAAAGGTGAAGACTATAGAATAGACTGAAGCTTGACTTGATCCAGGCAGCTCTTCTTCCTTCTTGTTGACCCCAGTCAACAAGAAGGAAGAAAAACTGGCGTGTTTATCTGCGGAAAAGACATCATCATCATCAACACAATAATTATTACGAAGAAAGCTTCAAAAAGAATCTCAGTCAGCTTTACGGTAGTCGTAAATAGTACGATAATAGGGTGATTCCGTTGAAGAAGTACGAGATAAAAGATTTATAGAGACTGTTGCATGGTCGGAACCACCTAATGGAGTAAATAAACATAAGCTAGGGTCAGAGACGAGACACAAATTAAGAAGCAAAGTTAAGTGATTAGGGTTGTCATAAAGTTGACAATCTGAGTAAGAGATTGAGAAATACAGAAGTTATGAGCATTTGTGCCAGCAGGGTCAGTGGTGTTAAAACCAAACCATTTAGTGTGATGAGCATTAAAGTCACCAATAATAACAATATTGGCTGAGGTGTTAAATGACATAAAAGAATATTCATAGGATTCAAACATGATTTTTCAACAAATAGGTAAATTAATGGGTAAGTATTCGCCAAAGCATCTTTTTATCAGGGCAGAGTAAATGGTTACCACGGTAATTTTGTAGGGTCTAAATGCTATGGAAAAATTCCATAAAGCGGAAAATGTCTACCACATGAGTTAAAAAAAAATACCATTTTGAACATGGAATTAAAATTGCTTACCAGGCAAAATAAGTTTAAAAAATTCAAAATGAAATTATGATAGTTAGATATTTCATAAATGGAATCGAAGTTGGATTTTCGAAAAAATTTTGTTTGTTCTTTAGGTACTTATTGCGTTTTTGTATGCACTATTTACCAGATCATAAACCTAATGTTAATTAGTAGACCATTTACGGTGAACTATAAATGTTAGATTGAAAATATGATTTGTAGTATTGAGTCTAAGTAATGTAAGCTTTATCGTTGTGATAAACGTTCAAGGACTGAAATGAATTTGAATTTGTTTTATTTCAGAAATAAAATATTCAAGTAAAATAACAATTGATTAGTAGAGTTTTTGTTTTTAAAAAAAATGTCATAATATTTTATGAAAAGGTGATAACCAATCCCCTCGATGCTGAAAGGTCATTTAATAAAATGACCAAAGATGCTCTTTTTCCATCTATATGATCTTAAAAGGCATTTACGGATTGAGCCCTGATCGCATTCGGCGCGAGTGCGTTCCAAGGGTTTACTACTCTGTTAGTGAAGAAATGAGCTCTTTCTTCACAATTATTCACGTTTTGTCTTTCCAATCGTTGGTTATGGCCACGTAAATTGTACGTTGATAGAGATAGTGCAAGTTGTTGTTTATGAAAAAACGAAACTACTTCGAACCCGTTTTGTATTCTGAAATTTTGAATGAGATCTCCCCTTGTCCTACGGGTTCTAGTGTTGTAATACCGAATTTGTGAAGACGAGTTTCGTACAAATCATTTTTGATTTCTGTGATGAGTTTAGTTGCCCTGTGCTAAACTTGTTCGAGTTTTTCGATATCTTTCCTGAGATGGGGAGAACACGCTTGAATTGCGAATTCCAAGCGCGGTTTCACGTACGTTGTGTATAGGGTTTCCATAGTACTAACTCTCGACTGCGGAAAGCTTTTTTGAGTCTACCTAACATGCTGTTAGCCCTTTCTGAAGCTGATTCGACTTGTTGACAAACTTTCAAGTCGTTGGATACTAGAACTCCTAGGTCTCGCTCAAGTGTAGTTGTTTCTAGATTATGTGCAATTCCATTTCTGCCTGTCATCGTATACAGTTGCGTAGATTTATTTTTAGCTTTTCCAACATGTATTGCTTTGCATTTATCTAGATTTAGACTCATTTGCCACTCGAGTGACCAGGCTACTGTGCTGTCTATGTCTGTTTGTAAAGATTTTATATCATCATCATTATCGATAACTCCTATGATTTTGCTGTCATCGGCATAGATTTTGATCTGCTTTTGTAGGTTGTAATGTTAAAGGTTTATTTCAAAGAGCAGTTTAATGACTTTAAATCTAATAAAAATATAACTTTTAAGCAAATGATTAAAAAGAAATTGTAAATTACTAGCAGCAAAAAAACAGAGAATTTCATAGTTAAATAGTTTTAAAAGTATCCGTTTTATCTAAGTGTCATTTTATTATAAAAAAACAAATCTATTATTTGCGATTATTGAAAAATGAACTAAAATCAAATGAATTGATGATTTTCGATGGATTTTTCTGAAAATAACTCGTTTGTTGCGCTAGATCCTTTACGGAATTTATCTATGGAAAATCTGTGAAAAAACCCATGGAAAACCCATGGAGTTTCCATTGGTATTTTGAACACATTTTTCCATGAAAAAGTCATGTATTTTTCATGAAAAAACCATGGGTTTTCCATGGAAAATCATGACTTTTTCATGAAAAATTGTTCTAAATATTTATGGAAATTCCATTGGTTTTTCCATCCATGGAAAAAACCAACTTTAATTGCAGCCAACTGAAATTGCAGAACCAGGTAATCGTCAAACAAATTACTGATCACGTTTTGATATTTATTAATGTTTTCGCCACAGTTTGTATCATTGTCCATTTCACCAATCTAGGCAATACATTATACAATTAGTATACAAATACTAACTAATTTTCTTTATTTACTAATTTATTTATACTTATATTTATTATCTATTATAAATTACTTTATAATTACGCATTAACACACAACCTTTTGAATGTTCTATATAAATGTTGCCAAATGATGGGTAACATTTATATAGAAAAAAAACAGTTATGAATATGTCATTGTTTACAAATAATAATTATAAGATAATTACTTTTTTTTCGCCCAAGCTATCTGCATGATGTACAACATCATTTATATTTCCAGTCAAACATTCATACCTAAAATGTAATTTAAATAAAATGATAAAGTTAAAATAAAAAGATTTATGCAAACTAATACATATATAAATGTTACTTGTATGTTGCATGCCCAAGCTATCTGCATGATGTACAACATTATTTGTATTTTCAGTCAAACTTTCTTGCTTATAATGTAGTAATTCAAATAAAATGATAAAGATAAAGTAAAAAAATTTATGCACATACATAAATGTTACGTGTATGTTGGTAACATTTATATAGAAAAAGACAGCAACAAATATACTATTGCTTATAAATCGTAATTTAAAAAAAGCTCACTTCTTCTTCAACCGATCTATCCGAGAGATGTGAAACATTTCTATCGCTACACAATAGGACAGAGTGTGCCAAAATACCAAAAAATCAATGTCGGCATTGCACGGTGAAAATTTGTTATAATGGTGAAGGCATGTTCATTAGAGGAAATATCTAGTTAAAAAAAATTAAATATTAATTTAAGCGTTATTTTATACGATAATTTACACGTGAATTTGACATGTGTTCCATAACACTATTTTACATTTTTTATTTATCAACTTATTTTCTCTACTATTGTTTTAAATTAACTTTATTGACTTTCATTTTAAAGTATACTATTTTAATTAACAATGCTTTTTTTTCCTCAGACTTTTAAAAACAATTTAACGTAAATGAAATCATTAGTTTTATGAATCTAAAATAGAGAAATTAACCTTAACTATTAGGTATCAGATAAACCATTTTCCAATATTATCAAAAGATTTGATTATGTAAATCTCATGCTAAATGTATATAAATAGCCATACATCATAAATATTTTGCTACTTTTTGCAATAAAAAAGGTCATTTGATTAGAATTACTGAATTAATGGTCAGTTATTTGATTAGAATTACTGAATTAATGGTTCAGTAATTCTAATGAAATACTGAACATGTAAAAAAGATGTTTGCACACAAATAATACCTACAAAATCTTTCATTACTATTATAATATATAATTTCTGTAAATATAAATCTAAAAAAGTTTTTTTATGACAAATACATGCATTGAAAAGTAATACTTTTGATGTTTTAAAAGTTGTCTCGTCCATTAAAAATATTTCCTATTTTTCACCAAAATTTAATTTGTTTAATATATTTTTTACATGTTTATTACTTTATTTATGCATTTTATATATAAATATAGCTATTCTAATAAAAAAAAACTACGAAAATAATTTTGGCAAAAAAAAGCTCGATTTTCTCCTACTATGTGCCAAACTTGCCAGCTTATAATTTAAATAAAATGATAAAGTTAAAATAAAAGGGCTTATTAAAATAGAAGGACACTATTAAAATTAAAAATTTATATATTTATATATTAAATTTTTACTTTACTGTTTAAAACATAATAAATATATTAAATATGTAACTAACTAAGTATAATAATGTAAAAACATAACAAATATTCAAGTGTGTTCATAAACTAATTTATTATTCTTAAGACAAGCACTTCACATTAGTTAAATATAAACAAATAAAATTAATTGTATAATAATAAGTAATAGTGTATTATTTATAAACATTGCTTTTATATGCTTATATCTAACTGTTAGTAATCTCTTGTGCATTAATTAACTTCCCATTCTGATATTTTTAAAACATTACCGTAGTTTTCCTGCTTCAAATAAGTTGTTCTTAGAACATCATTACAAGTTGAATCCCAAAGATTACGCTTATATCTTTTCTGGACAGCTTTTGAACTACTTTTAAAAATATTAAATGCATATCAAAACTGACATTGTTATAAATGATATAATTGATGAACAACATTATTTATATTGCCAGCCAAACCTGTCGGCTTATAATGTATTAATTTAAATAAAATAATAAAGTAAAAATAAAAGTTTTATACACAAACTATTACATCATTTACATATTCTAATAATTCTGCTATTTAATAGTAAAGAAAAAACATAATAACTTGAATGGTCGCGTCAACAAAAAGACAAAAACAACTTAACAGAGCTAAAAATTAATAAAACATTCATCATAAAATAAAGTTTTTTAATACTTAATAATCATTTACCAATTACAATTTAACTTCAAGCATTTTTATGCAAACTAAAGCCATTAAAAAAAAATTAAAAAAGATAGCAAAAGTTATCTTTTGTATATTAGTTTTCTAATCTTATACGATACACTGCTTATCTCACCTTATCTAATACACTAGTTATCTAATATCCATTAAGACTAAAATATTTGTAGTAAACCAAATAAAAATTAAAAATCAAACTGATTCACTTGATGTACTTGCTATGGTATTGCAATTTATGCAAATTAAACAAAGCTATTGGCAATAGCTAGAATAAGTATATGCACAAAAAGTATATAATTATATATATATATATATATATATATATATATATATATATATATATATATATATATATATATATATATATATATATATATATATATATATATATATATATATATATATATAATAAGTAAACATATGCATTTTATAATGCGTCATAATATGATAATATCCAGATACGTAAAGATAGTAAATTCCAAGACCAAGACAAATTTGATTCAATACCGAGACTAAGACCAAGACAGTTAAATGAGTCTTGAGACGTCTCGAGACCAAGATTTACGTCTCGAGATCAACATCTCTGAAAATATCATAATATGATGCATTATAAAATGCATACATTAATCATATTCTAGCTATTGCAAAAATGTTTAGTTGTTTATGTCTGTATGATTAGTTTGAATCATATTGAATGTAATGCATTATAAAAATGAATTATAGTCTTATTAAATACAGAAAAATAGAAGAATGCAGAAAATATTATATACTCAAGTTGCAAATGATTGTAACTCTACGAGTTACGACAGCATCTTTAAAAGCGCATTTGTAAAACCCATGGTGCAGCATGAGCTATGAAAAAAAAAAACATGGTTTACCCATAGAAATTCAAAAAGATTTCAATTTTTATAAAAATACACCCATGAAAATTCCATATAATTTCCGCTTTCCATGGAAAAACCGTTGTTTACTTATAGAATTCCATGGGTTTTCCATGAAATAGTTATGGAATATTTCCGTAAGGGATATGTTTAGCAGCATAAGCGAGTCTTCAATGGGTAATTCAAAGTCAAATTTTAATTACCTTAAATTTATATGATTTTGATTTATCTTTATGCTGCCAGAGATGAAGTGGACAGCGTAAAAAGCAATCAAGAGTAACGTATTAATACAAGAAACACAGTTGTAAGTGCTCTTAATAATTACAAGTTTATTCTACTAAATAAACATCAAGTTTGTGTCAGTTGTATCTAAAATGACAATAAATTTAGTTTTATTGTCTCATCAAAGTCCTGGCAGTTTAGGTGCATGTATGCACAATGATCTTTGGTGTATTGTAAATACATTAGAGCATGGATACTTGTAGAGTATCGGTAGTAGTGTATGTTATTGCATTCATATCAGATCGAGTAAGTTCTGCAACAGATTTATATTAAAATGTACCATCAATAGTTTTTCCAAACATTAATTTTAAATTTGAAGCTATTTTAAATATAGGCTAACACATCTTTTCACCATTTTTCAAAATTTTTCAACATCTTTTCACCAAATCCAAGTTTGAAGCAGCTTTAAAATAAAAAATCTTGAAAAACCTCCCCAGCCCTCCCCCATCTCTTTTTTTTCCAAATTTAAAAAATATAGTGTAAAAAGTAATACAAAAATAAAAAAGTTTTTTGGCCTATCCAGATAAAATAGGGCTCAGTGATCCCTGATCTTTAAGTTTAGTAAAAAAATCGTAAAGAAATGCATATATTGAAAAATATAAAAATACTTTGCAGTTAGTGATAGGGTCCTATAAAGAACCAATAAAATTAACGGTATTAAATTGACGCCAGTTGGAGAACCATAGTCAAATGTGTAGACATGATATAAAACTCCCAAAAAAAAATTTCGTAACCTACACCGTTGATTTACTCAGAAACCTTGTTTTTGTGATATTGTAGCGTTTTATAACATAAATATAAAAATAAAAAAAGAGCCCAGAACATTTTAGCAACAGAATTATATTAAAGTTTGGCTTATCAAAAAAATCCTATAAAATTCCAAACAGTAATTATTTTAATCTGAGAATCTAGCAATCTTGTTGTCTCAGCAATGTTGTATTCTGAGAATCTTTTTTGTTGTCTGAACAATGTTGTAATTTGAAAATCTAACAAACTTCTAGCAATCAAATGATATCACTTAATTATTTTAATGCAACAGTCAAACAGTCCATATTTGACTTAACTGACGCCAACATATTATCATATTTTTAAGGATTAAATAAATAGTAATAATTAAAGCAAAAATAATTTAATACCATAATAAAAAAAAGGTTATTATATTATAATACAAATAGTTTTTATTCTATAATCATTTATGGGATTATAACGTATATTTTATGACTAATTATGACTATTATTTTTAATGCGTTTTAACATTGTTAATAATCTCACTTGATAATATTATCACGTGGTAATAACTTTTTAAAAAGAGTCATTTCACACTGTGTGTAAAAGTCTTTGCATGTCCATCTCAGATTTTGATTCAATTTGTCAGTATGTTGTTAAACATGTATCAAGAGATTTTTTTTTTCTTCAAATTATTATGACTTATTTTGTCACTAAATAAACATTTTACAAAGATTTCTCCTATAACTTCCGCACATCTATAAATATATTTATATTTATTAATCTATAAACATAAAATGAATTTAAAAGAGTTATTCCACGAGAAAACTTATTTTATAATTGGGTATCATAAAGATTTAATTTTAAGACTGTAGTTTTTTACTTGCTTCTGTCACTCTTTCAAATTTACTTTATATTTATAGATTAATACATATAAATATATTTATAGATATATGAAAGTTATAGGAGAAAACTTTGTAAAATGTTTATTTAGTGATAAAATAAGTTATTTGAAAAAAAAAATCTCATGATACATGTTTAACAACACACTGACAAAATTATATGAAAATCTGAGATGGTCATGCAAAGATTTTTACACAGTGTGAAATGACTCTTTTTAAAAAGTTAAGATTTACAAAAGCGAGTTCTTTTAGCTTTATTTTTTATGAAATAGAGTAATTGTAAGGTTATTATAATAAAATACATTATTAAAGGTACGTTTATTAATAACATAAAATCTTTTTCTTCTTTATGATTATAGGCGGAGGAAGTCCTCTTTATGATTAATGGTAAATGAAGGCTGAAAAATGATGAAAAACTGATGACATAAATTGTGAACGGTCTCTTAAAATAAAAACATGTCCTACTATATGCTAAAATTTCAACAAAATATTTTGATAATCTTTTTAAATAATTTTGTGATCAAAGCTCTAGATCCTCAATTTAGCTCAAATTTATTTGGAGTAACTTCGATTAGGGTTGAGAAGTTAAGACTATTTTGAGAGTAGTAAAGACTATTTTTGAGAAGTAAAGGCTGAGAAGTAAAATGCTTCCTATTTTATGGTTTCTTGTTCTTAGGTTTTAGTGACTGTTTCTTTTTATATATATTTTTATAGGACTGTGAATAAGTTTCTCCATACCGTACAGTAACTATATGAAGATGCTTTAGATACTTTAAATTTCTGACTAACAAGAACATTCAATTTTTTTTATTTTTTTTTTATTATTGCTCAGCTCAAATTTAGCTTTTTTTATTCTTTTAAATATTATAAATTTTTCTGTTCATACAATTAAAAAGTATATATTACAAGAAACTTAAATAAAACATAAAAATAGTTTTATATAAACAGCCTCAAAATAAAAGGAATGACCAGAGCCAACACAATCTTTTTATAGAGTCGTTATGTGGGTTTTAACAAGTGTAAAGTACATTAAACTAAGAAAAATAAAGTAAAAATAAAATAGAAGCAATTAAATAGAAGTAATTTTTTAGGATCATTATGTTAACTCTATGCGTTAGATATAAAGAATAAATGATGATAAAATTAATAAAAATATATAAAATTACGTTTGATTAAATAATGTACAAATTAAATTCAAAGCTGTCATTTGATTTCAAAGTTCATCTTTTTATTTAAAACTGGTTTTAAACTGGTTTCACCATTTTAAAATAGTTATTTTTAAAGTTGTTCCATATCTTAGGCTCTCTATAGTGATGTTATATTTTTATATATTTATTATATTTTTTTATATATTTGTAATTTACATATATTGTAATTTAAAGCAGTGTGAGCCTTTCAACAATAGATTTTGCAACTTCAAAGACTGCTGGATATTTCTGACGACCAACAATCTTCCAATAATTCTTTGCGCTTATTTTGAAAATTGTCTTATTTATTTTTTCTGTCAGTATTGTCATTTCTCCAACAAATTCAATCATTTCATTTTCAACTGTCTTAGCAACTGTTGGATTTGTTTTGAAGGCTTATTCTGAAATTAAACTGATTTTTTTTTTTTTTTTTTTTTTTTTTTTAATTTTGCTTACATTAAAATGTCAAAGTACAATTATATATGCCATTTATATCGTGTTACAATTAAATTCGTGTTACAACATTTATCAACTAAATTAAAATAAGAAAAAACACGGACATACATATATAAATATAAGCATATATACACATACAAATGCGTAGATGCGCACATACATAAACTGCTTACAATGAAACATAAGCTAGGATCTGAAAGAAGATCACAAGATCTTGTCATCAGAACCTT